TTTTTTTTTTTTGCTGGATGACCTCTCGCAGTCGGTTTGTGTGGTACGTGGTCGGGATATGCCGAGTTGTGCTCTTAAAAGCATAGAAACGTGTGGTAATATAGCTATTTCTTTTTAAAATTCTGTGTTTTTCTCACTGGGGTTGAGATCTTAAGCCCTTTTGGACACTTAAATATATAGTAACAACCAGCCACTGTCACAAATAAAGGACATGAGATCGTAAGCCGTTTTGACACTTAAAAAAATAGATAGTGACAACTGACACTTAAAAAAAATATATAGTGACAACTGGCCACTGTCACAACTAAAGGACATGAGTTGTGCTCTGTGTAAATGCATTTGTTTGTCGTGTAAATGCATTTATTTGTCCGCATGAGCGCTGCCAGCAGGGAATGCTCCGCGGCTGGTGACACACAGGATAACCAGCCTTGAACGAGGGAGGAACCGATAACCGATGGCTTAGAAAGGGTTAATGTGTGGGTACATCGTCCAGAAAAAGCAGTAAAAGCTCTTGAAGCAGAAAATACTTAATTCAAACCAAGACTTCCCCAAGTAGCCTTATGCATAAGATCAGGGGGCTTTTGAGAGTTACGCTGAGACCGCAGTCTTGTATTCTTCTTATTGAATATAATTAATACAACAAATTAGAACTTCTTGCAAAACACCTTTGGTATATCACAATAAAATAAATGATGAATTGCTTGCATATGTCTTCATGCCCAGAGTTTACAAAAGCTCAGTGAGAGCGGTTACAGTGGTTGAAAATTAAATTTTGTCTCGTACTTGAGATAGGTTTGTATGTGTAAATAGCCTGTAGGTTAGCTCACAGCCTCTGAAAGAGCTGGAGTATTTAATTTGAATTTCTTTAACATTTTAATGAAGTCATATCTCATTCCTGACAAGACCTACATGTAAGCTTACATTTATGCATAGCTTCGTGGAAACTAATACAGTATATAATGTATTAGTCAGAGGGACTGCCCATATGCATATTTCTTTATTAACAAGATGAAATTGATGAATTATAAAAGACATAGTTGAAATATTTGAGGCCCGTCAGCTTTGTCATTAATGAAATTTAACCCAAGTGTTGCCTGACTCTTGCTGTATAGCTTTTTTCTACATATAACTGCACATATATGCAGTTTCTTGCTAGCATAATTACACTTTTGAAGAACACCTAAGAGCAAAGACCCACCACTAGCAGGTTGCTAAAAGGTGGTATGATATGTGAAAGAAGATAAAAGGAGTATTATGAAAAGAAGAAACGAGCATTGACAGTTAAATTATAGAATCTGAAGTCTCTAGTACATGCTTTGAAATTGCTTTGGGTTTTGTTTGTTTCTTATTTTCCAAGCTCTTCCCACTCAAAGACTCTCTTCAGTGGTGCTGTGCTCTGTGCCCTGTCTGTGACAAAGGTTGGGCTGCTTGATGTCCACTCGCCAGATCACCCTTTAAATGCTGTACATTTCGCTCACCCCCTCTGCATTTTACAGAAGAAAACATTGAGAAAGCAAAATGGAAATGGAAACGGAACAGAGCCAAGGTGGCTTTTGCCAATTTAGAAAAACCTGTGTTGTCGCTGTCTTTAATATCGGCCAAGGTTGAGGGATGCCTGTGTTGGCAGCTTTGCTTCCATCACTTCTGCTGTGATACGGACAAACCTTTGTTAGATTTGAAGGGAAATTGTTCGCTGTTTCTGCCAGGAACCCCGTTGCTCCCAGCGTGACACTAATGAGGCAAGTGCCTTGGAGATTCTGCTTCAGAACTCGGAAGTAAATACAAGTTTGATAAAAACACAGGTGCGCTATCATCAGCGAATTACCATAAATTACCTACATGAGCAGTCCTCAGAGTAAGCACCTGTAATTCTTTAAAATTAATATATAAACTTGTCATTTAAATAACCGCAGATTCATATTTAAATGATAGAGATCAATCTGTCTTGTATTCCCAGAGTTCTAGCAGTGAGCTTGAAAGTGTGATAATCTAAGGAGACAGGGTCTCACTGTTTCCAGACGTAAACTGCAGAGGGTGTGTTAACTCGTGCACAAATAATTTGCGAACGGGAAGCTGCAGTATTTGGACCATCAATAGTTGTGACTCCCCACCCATAACCAAGCTCCTGTGATCACTGAGTGCTGCCGCAGCGCTTCCTCTGCTAAGAGCTGAAGAGCATCACACAGCAGCAGCCTGTGGTGGTTTTCCTGTTTCTCTCTTGACTTCCACTGCCGGACGAGGGGGTGAGAGATTCTTGTCCCTTCTCCACAGCGGGTGCGGTCTATCCGTGTGATGGCCCTCTTGGTAGTTGCAAGCTCCTGGTTTATGTGCCCTGACATACGTTCCTGGATTTTGTGTACCTGTGTCCACCTGGGTTTTTGCTTTGTCCAAGTCACAGAACCCTACTGGTTCCCAAAATATGTGAGAGTTCACCCCGTGACTGTTTTCTGCGCGGCACAAATGTGTGAAAGGTAACAAGAGGATCTGCAGATCCAGAGCAAGGTTGATTCAGGTATTTTTATGATCCTTCAGTGGACTTGTCAGAAAAGTCTCATGCATATGTGTGAACAGGCAAACAAAGGCAAACACATTGACATTTTACTAATGGAAGGGAATGTTAAAATGTCAATGAAAATGTCACACTTTGATTCTGATCGTGAGCACTTGAAGTAGATTCAGGGCCATTTAATGGAGTTTCATTCTACTATTAAAGGCAGGCACACACAACTGTTCAAACAATTTTTAAGGCAATTCGGAGCGAATATTGGTCATGAGTGCAGCAGGGAGAAGAGAAAAGCAAGATAAGACAGCTTGTGTTTAAAGGTGTGTGTGTTCCCTGCTTTTTCGGTGACTGGCTTTAAGGAGCATGGGATAAAGTTGGATGGGATTTGTTTTGTTTAAAAGACAGCTTCGTGTCTTGGGGAACGAAATACTTGGCACCAGGGTGTGTGCTCTGAGCATCCTGATAGTGTCCTTGCCTCTGTGTGGCAAATAAACCTAGGGCTGACAGCTCCAGCGCGGGATGAAATACTCATTCCTGGTTTACGAATGAATGCCAGAACTACCAATAACACAAGTTATGAAAATACCTGTCTACTTGCTATGCAAATACCTGTCGATTTAAGAAGTTGCCTATGACCTTTGGACTAATTTGTTTTACAGTGGAGTTGCTTTACAAGGGGCTTTGGAGGAACTTGCTTTACAAATTCAAGCTTGCTTTAAAAAGGTTCTTGCGGACTCGCTGGTGGCTAATTGCTTTTGATCATTCTTAATCCATACTCTGTTAGAACAAGTAACTATGATATAATCGCACTGTAGTCCAGAAGAGTCCTGTGTAACTTTTCAGATGAAATGTTCGTGTTCTTACTTCGAAGTGCTCAGAGGGACTGACTCAGGAGACTAATGATAGGTCATGTTTCACCTCTCCACCAGCAGCTTGTTGTGGAGGTGATGGTTAGTTATTACAAATGATCTTCTTTCCCTTTGTTCTGTCAAGTGGCAGCACTGCTGTACACCAGAGGCAATCCCTCTTGCTAGTCTACCTGTACAGTTCTTTCCCTTTTTCCCTTTTTCTCTTTTTTATTTTTTCCTTTGTCTGCTTTATTTCCCCTAATGCCATATCCATTCCTTATTGCCATTGAAGCTGTGTGCCAGTTGTAAGGATGGAACCTTCTGTTGCGGTAGTCCAGACTGTAGGTTTCTGCATGTGTTTATGAAAACATTATTAATCGAACTGATCTTTTGATAGGGCTGTCATGAAAAACTCTCAGTTCTCCGAATCCTTTACGTTTTATTCTGTGGTCCATTACTTCAAGTTAACAGCTTGTCTCTTCTGTCTTTTCTTTTAAAAGCTACTTGCACGACTTGAGGGCAGAAGTTCTCTGAAGAATCTTGAACCTTACCTGTTTGCTGAGGAAGGATCTCCTGTTCATGGTAAAAATGTGGTTTTATCCCATTTATGGAAAAATGTTGATGTAGAAGTATTTTAAAAGCGATCTGACAAAGATAAGCATACAAGTAGGTCTCTTTGTCCTGGATTCAGAATTTTAATTGTTGATGTAGTTTTATGCAAACTGGGTAAAATGGAATAATGCGAAGTCACCATTCTGAATGTTATTAAATGGACTTTAAAATCTACTTTGTGGGTATCAAAACACAGGTGTAGGTGAGTAAATACCAAGCAGGTAGGTCTGTTTCTAGTAGTTTTACACAACTGTGTTAGATTTTGTCATTTAACATTTTTTCTTAATCAGTTGTCTGAAGAACGACCACGGAGTCATAACTGCAGAAGTTTGCAAAGAACTTGAGGTTCCATAAATAGCAAAGAGTTCAGTGATAGGGAGTGGTCAGGATTAGTTACAGAAAGGGGCATGAGCAAACAGGAATTTTCAATAAAGCCAAGTCATCTCGCCATTTAGTCTCGGCCTTAAAAAATCCTGATTATACTGGGATGGAACTTTGGAAGGAGTTCCATAACGAACAGAGGTACTAATCAGCTGAATGAGTTCACACACAGTATTAGGATCAAAATGGCTTATGTGGACCTTCAGTGAATAAATGAAAGGTTCAAATCAGAGAAATTGATGCCAGTAAAACAAGTTCAAGGTAGATTCATCGAGCAAGAGTTTTAAGATCAAGGTTGGATATTTTGTAAAAGAAATTACTGAACTAAACAGAAATTAGTGCACATAGTAATTCCTTGATTATTCAGGAAGTCAAACTGGTTTTCCAGATTATGTGCAATTTCATGGATTTCACAGTGGAAGAGACTGCTCTGATTACACAAAACTAGAAATATATAGTAAAAAAGGCATTTGAATGGCAAACTGTAAGGAACATGCTGTGAGGTACTACAGTTGTTGAATGTATGTATGAATTAATGGATTTCATATAAAAAATATGTGGCTGCAGTGGTTATCGACATACTTTTCTGCAGTTTGAATTCCCACAAATTATTGAAGGTTCAGAAGAAATAGCAGAAAAAGCAATAAAAAGAGGCAGGATAATTGGATGAGAGATGATGTTTAGTCTACAAATGCAGTCACCAGGAGACTATTCGTGTATTATTTTGCAGCACTTGAGAATACATTAGGGGTTTAGCAATATATGATTCCTGCCCCTGGAAGTTTCAAATATGATGTAACAAAGATAAAGGGCAAAGGAATACTGGTAAGCCAGTGCAAATGGAGCAGAGATTATTTAAATATACTTTTAATTCTGAACTGCTTTGTTACACACAAGAAGAATTACAAACCACTAGTGAAACTGGTATGTGCTTCACAAGGCTCCTGAATTCTTAACAATTTTTTTAAAAGATATTTTGGTTTTGAAAAAATGCTGATTTTTTCAGGTTTGTTTTTTTTTTTAATGAACTTTACACACAAGCAACAAATATTTGGGACTAAACTGGCTGTGTTCTGGTAGAAGAGACTATAAGAAGCCTTCCTGGGGATCAGTACTTACCCTTGCCATCACACACCACAGCCTTACATAATTCCATCATCAAATTATCAGCTCTGATCTTAAAGCTAGGTAGGTTGTTCATATCTGTACAAAGACTGTTCCAGAACCTCAGTTCTGAGGTGGCTGGAAACTTTCTGAATCCATCACTGGGTTCTCTGTGCCAACACGGTCATTGAGCTTCTGAAGCACTTCTCTTTCTCTTCTTCATCTGCTTTTAGCAAATGGCATCAATTATAGTCTGTATTGGTTGTGCTTTGCGGCTGATATTAATGAAGGCGCCTAACATATTAGCTCAGATCTTTAGCTATATGTGAACTTCACCTTTTATTACATTTTTGCTTTGCTTGCCGCAGTATTTACGTGAGTCCGTGTGTTATTTTTATGTGTGTTCTCGTTATTTAGTCTTAAATCCCTGTTGAAGACCTACCTCTCCATTTGTTATGAACTTGTCTTTTAGTAGGGCACCGTGGAACACTGTAATAATTGCCCACGTAGCCTGTACCTAACAGCTTTTAATGTAAAATGCTATGATTAAAGCAGTGCAAATGCTCAAATTACTCCTTTTCCTGATGGTATTTGAAATAAGCAAACAAACTTATATACATGAACTTTCAATAAACTATCCAAAGGTTACTTCATAGTTGAGTGTTCATGACATGCATGGCAGTGTACTGCAAAGCAGGAACAGCTAATACAGGTACTGCTGTGACATTCTAGTCACTGCTTCTAATTATGATGGACTCGCATATTTAAGAACACATAAGCATATTAATTACATACCCTTTAAGCTCTTCTGGAATGGAGCAAAAGTGACACAAGTTTTAAATAATCTTCCACTATTGCCAGTCGTATGTCTCCTGTGCCACTGCTGTGAAGGGGTGGGTGCTGTGAAGGGGTGGGTGTCGGTATAAAGCTCTGTTCAGCAGTTCTATGACACCCAACATTAACTTGGAATAAATATTAGTCCTTTCTGCTTCACTTACAAGTGGTACAGATCTTAGTGACAGCTTCTGCACAGTATTGTAAATTACTAGTCCAGTAACTTCAAGACATCTGATGATGTGAAACCTGCAGAGTTCTTGTTGAGTATTCTAATAGCCTGTTTGTAACCGCAGCGTCAGAAAATAGTTTAACCAATGTTTGCTAGTGTAACGATTACAGACTAAACTTAAGGCTCTTCTCATTCCGAAGATAGCACTGAGTTGATGACCAGGACCTAGCACAATGTTTCAGTTAAAAAATATTAGTGTTAAATAAATATTTACATTTATGCAACCTCATTTAGTTTATCCAGCGTGCCACTGCATAGCCCTGGACTGTTGTACTCTGTAGTGTGCTCATAGTGGGCCAGCTCAAGGTACCACGAGCCAACTATTGTGTTGAATGACTCCTTAAAATGTACTCCTTCAATTTATCAGTGCTGAATTTCATGTGAAATCATTCTGCTTATCCATCTTGATCTGTTAAATCTTCACAATCTTAAGTCTTTTATTAACCCAGTTCATTTGTTTTCTACACATTTTGCCACGTTAATGGGACATCCATCTACTGATGTGTTTAACGTTGGGTAACACCGATTCTAAGAGGAAAATTTCCCCTTACCTTTCTTCCATGTTAAAGTGTTTGTACCTGCTCTGCCTCTCGGACTATTTTCATCCTGTGACAGTATCTTTTTACTAATCTTCCTTTCAAAGTTATTCTGACATTAATGGATTATGCTAGTTCTGATCACTAAGTTTCTTCCATGACCTATTGTGAGGATGTCAAAGGCTTCTTGAAGGCTTGCCACGCGCCCTCCTCTGCTGTGTCATGGTTCACGCCTTCTGATCCAGAAGGATAATTTTCTCCTCTTATCTTACTGTAACAGCCTCGTTGCTAATTTAATGAAACCTTACATTTATAGACATTGCTATAAATGGCTTCTGGTTTGCACCCATTCTTCTTGTGGGCAGCCTCTCTGATAATCGTGAAGGCACAGAAATCCCCGGCTCTCTTGAGGTTTTCTTACAGTCTGAGCTGTTACTCTTTTCAGAGTAACTTGAGCGTTTTGGTCAAGCTACAACTTGGATCTGTATCTTGTTCAGCAGTGTTGAGCAAGCTTTGAAGGATGCTTAGCTGTCTTCCTGTTAAAATTTATGTGCCACCACCACAGAAACTCCTAAGAACGATTCTTCATTCAACTTAGAGTTTTTACTTAAATACATTAGTTAGTTCTGCCAATAAAAGCTCATCCAATATTCTTCTGTTACACACAGGCATCCTGATAGAACATCTTCAAATGGATAAAGTAAGACATTTATTTTACAGAATAACTTTTTTGAATCATCCCCAAGCAGTAATTCATAGTTGGCCACTGCTGCTTCGCAGTGGTAACTCAAAGCTCCTGTTTTTTCTTAAACAAGTTGTGTTTTGCTGTAAAGGTGGGTGAAGCAATCCGTATTTCATGTTGGCCCAATTCATTTACTGTTCTGGCTTCAGAAATGCCAATCAGGGTGGCAGAAGTCTTGTGCCAAAGCCAGCGGCAGACAGAAGCTACTCTTCGTTCCTTAGTTCCTTAGTGAGAGGTTCCTTATGCAATTGTTCTAAAATACTTCAATATATGAAATATGAGGGAACGACCTACCCAGCACGTTACAGGAGGAGTTCTTCCAACCTGGTATCTTGTCCTAACAGGGTGCGGTGGTTTCACTGGCACAGTCTGTGTGACAGCAGAACAGCTGCTGGCTGCAAGTGGCATAATTGGACATTGCAACCTCTGAACAGGAAGAGAAGAAGAAGGTTCATGTCATAGGAGTTGTAGTTGTCTTTCCTCTCAAAAGTGGGGAGAGCCCTTCAGAACAGATACATAAGTGTTTGGGAGGCAGTGAAGCTTTTTAATAAATTTCAAAGTACCACAAATTCCTAAGAATGAAATTGTAGTTGTGGAGTAGCAGGAATTTCATTATGGAGAGGTGGGCAGCCTCCCTGTCACTGGTCTGACTGAATCATCACATCAGGTGTAAGTTGTTTGTAATCGGTGAACTAAGAGTCTGTTTTTTCCCCACCACCCTCCGCCCCTCACCCCAGGCTGCACCTTCCCATTATACGCATTTATGAAGGAGGACATCCTCTGGAAGTGGAGTAATGAAATGAAAGACCCTGTTACCTCAGGCAGGCACAAATACATTTAAGTAAAGTTGCAATTAATTCTTTGCACTTGTACCCCCCTAAGAAAAAGCTGTTATGCCATTAGCACTTGCCAAGGCCATAGAAATCTCTCACCTCCCTGCAATTACAGTTGTGTGCTTCTTCTTACTGCGTGTCTTTACCCTTCTGCCTAAAATCCAAAATGCCATAAATAAATTACTCAGTTTCCAAAATTAGAAATGTATAAAGACCAACTTCAGAAATTATCTTTTTTTTAGAGTCTTGCTCTGCTACAAGAAATCAGAAGACTGTAAAAGACTTTAGGATACATTGCATTCACACCCACCAAAAGAACTGTCTTCCTAGTGGAGCATAGTGCTTCTTTATTTTAATTTTTTTTAAATTGATGTGATAGGTATTTTCTTGACCCTCATGGATCAGGCAGTTTGGCTGAGTCCATTTATGCACAGAGATCCTTTGCTTCAGACAGTAGAGTTGTTGCCTGGAGTTGAAGGAACCTGTGAGTCCCCCTTGTCAAAAGAAGCAGTTCCGTGTTACAACTGCCACAGAAGAATGCAAGGGTTAAGTGAATGTACTGGTGTTCCCTTTACTGGTCACAGATTCCTGTTGGCGTCTTGTGACGTTCGCAGCTACTGAACAAGCACAGAGCAGACGTGAACTGCTGAAGGACAGGCTGTGCTATAGAGGTAGATGTGCCAACGTGATCTGGACCTCCGTCAACTTTTTGTTTATTGTTTTGCTTGTCCTCCACTTTTTTTTTAAATCCAGGTGCTTAATGTAAATAGATGCTTTCTTAGCTACTTTTGTGTGGCAGCTTCCTTTTCAGCCTTCATCTGCCTGCAACGATAGATGAATCCGGTGGCCAACCTTTTACTGGTATCAGTGTCCTAGACACTGTTGGCAGGGATATTTTTTCATCCTTTGTTCCCCGTTGATTTCCTTCACTTCAGAGGCCTTTCTTGAGAGTTGAAATTTCTCTTGGTAGATGCTAACCAGGATTTAAACAATTTTATGAATATCAGGCATTCTAAAATGCATTTTCCAATTAGTGAAACAGTAAGTATTGCTTCAATAAACACTGAAAACTGATTCTGAGCTGTAAATGCTTTTACCTGGCAACTTGCTGCTTTGTTTTTGAACAGGAGATGTCATTGAATTCCATGGCCCAGAAGGAACAGGAAAAACAGAAATGCTTTATCACCTAATAGCCCGCTGCATCCTTTCAAAATCAGGAGGAGGACTGGAAACAGAAGTCATGTTCATTGATACAGACTACCATTTCGATATGCTTCGTCTGGTTACCATTCTGGAGAACAGATTGGCGCAAAGGACAGAAGAGATGATAAAGCAGTGCCTGGGAAGGCTTTTTCTCGTGAACTGCAATAGTAGCACGCAGTTGCTCCTCACTCTCTACTCTTTGGAAAACATGTTTTGCACTCACCCCTCTCTCTGCCTTTTGATTTTAGATAGCATATCAGCTTTTTATTGGATAGACAGAAGCAACGGAGGGGAGAGTCTTAACTTGCAGGAGATGAATCTGAAGAAATGTACTCACTCTCTCGAAAAGCTTGTGAGAGAGCATCACTTAGTCCTCTTTGCAACAACACAGACACTTATGCATAAATCTACAAACTCTGCAGATAGTTTTTTTCCTTTGAAACTTCACCATGAGACTGATCCGGACTATAGGCCTTATCTTTGTAAATCATGGCAGCAAATGGTATCTCACAGGGTATTTTTCTCTAAGCAATGCAATTCTGGCAACAGCAAAAGCTTTACAATCATTTCTTGCCACCTCAAAAGAAACCTTGGAGTAAAACGTTCATTTAGTATTGCAGAATGTGGAGTTCAGTTTTAATGACTTTTAATGCTGTAGCAAATCCTGGTACTTAGTTTTTAGTGCCTTTTAAACTATTTGGTTGTTTCTGGATGATTAACAATTTTTGTCATCATCTTCTTAAAATTCCATGAAAAGCAGGAAATGGTAAAATTTTTGAATCACTGTAGACGTTCAGTCCAAACTAGTGAGGAATGTTGAAATTACTTGTTTGTTCTTAAGGTGTAAAGAGATTAAATCAAGAAAATTATAACCAAAGACATTTTAAACTGCTAGTATCCTTCAGTAATCTAACCTTTGTGATACACAGCCAAATTAGCTGACTTAATTTCTGGGCCTGACTGCTTTACATTCCTCATTTTCCAAGATTCAGAAATAGGAGCCTTCGTTGTCCATGGGGAAGACTGCAAAAAGGCGAGTGCTTGCTCTTCACAAGTACCAGTCTTGATTTATTCCCAGTAGCCTCGGGCATATGAAATGCATTCACGACTTCACCTGGAGAAGAGGATTCATTTTCACAGCCTGTTAAGTACTGGTAATCCTGACCACGCTTCTTCAACCTCGCAGCCCCTCTGCTGACATCCAAGAAGGAAGGGTGGCAGGTGCTTTCACCCTTACAAACATACGGGCCTGAAGAATCTTTGGATAACACAGAAGTCGAGGCCTTGTTTCCATATTGCCATAAATGTAGAAAAAACTAAAGACCTAGCTCTGGGCACCTGCGAGTTTTGTGCTGCATCCAGCAAAGACTTCAGTCTTTGAAAATAATGAACAGTGGGTTACGGCTTGGTTTGGGTGTGGGGGAGTTGTTTTCTGGTGGCTTGTTTTGGTTTTTTTAAGATGTATGCACAGACATATTATTTTTTTCTCTGCCCTCCCTTATTATTCCCTCCAGCTTCTTCCCCTTCCCCCACTCTCTCTAAGAAATTAATGCCATGCCTCTGGTCTTTACCAATATGTATTTGCCACATGTAGAACATTTGTGTACAGGATTTGGCATGCAACATGTTGTAATTCTGGCAAAGAAGATTCAGAACTTATGGGAAATGCCCTAGAGTTCTGGCAAAGAATGCCATATTATTTATTAACCTAGAGTGCCCTTTGAAAGCTTCAAAGTGCTTTACAAGACAGAAAATTGCACAGAGTACATTATTTAATACAAAAACTTACATTAACTTACAAATTTAAATTACTCAAACAAGGGGAAAATATTTCTCATGGCAATATTCGTTCAGTCATGTTGCACAGCCCATTTTATAGTTTAGATTGAACAGATTATTAACAAAAAAATGCATGTTAAGAAGAAGTATCTAGCGTGGTATCTTTTTGAGGGAGGTACCTAAAAAAAATTCGGAGACACCTTTGAATTTCCTGACTTCTGAAGCCAGCTTTTCCAGGCTGAACGTTTACTTGGATTCCCAGCTGCGCACCCAGGCTGCTGCATACAGAGCTCAGAGCCCGTTCCTTACCCTCTTGTTTATAGAATTCGGCATCTCTGTGACTGGGCTGGATTTTTGCAAAGACGACGAGCATCCCACCCCTAACGGGAGCCAGGCCCAAAGGTTTTGGGAGAAGTGTGAGAGGTTTTCGCTGGCACGGCCCCCCCAGCATAGGCCTTGGGGAGCTGCTACCCGGAGCCTGCCATCACAACTTACCCTCTTGGGTCACACCATGTCTTTTCACTATGAGTTCTGTTTAACTATTTTTTCAGTAGAGAAACTTCCTTTTGTTTTCCCCCTCTCTCATTTTAAACTTTCCATCTGATGACTTCTTCACGCCGTCAGTTCTCCTACTGCAACACGTGAACAAACTTTGCCTTTTCCGTGTCTCCGCAGAGGTGTTGATTTTATAGACTGTCATTTCAGTTGTACTTTTCGATCAGCACCAGTGTTTTATTTTATTTCAGAACTTGCAGAAGTACACAAATACATAAAAACCATACAGTTTAACCATTAGGCTAGACTGGACCCAAGGTAGATGGTTTAACGTGAGTAAACACTTCCACTGGAAATTATTATAAAGGGCATACTTGATTTTTTTTTCTTTTTTAAATCTAAGAAGAGTCAAGTAGAAGTACGGAAATTTTAAATGTGAAAATTGTAGGACTACATAATTTCTACTAAAAAAATACAGCAATACCCTTTTCTGCTGGAGAATACAGCTCCACTGAAGATAAACTGCTTCATAAAATCATGCTTGCTAAAAAACATGTTTGAGAAAAAAACAATGGAAATGTTCCGACATTGCCCTCTGGAAAAAAGCTTTTATATTATTCACAATGTAGTTTATATTTTGCATTGTACTATAAAAGAAACGCCTAAACTGAAACGAAGCCAAAGCTCTAATTGATCAAAAAAAGCACCTCAGGAAATTTTGAAATTTCCCAGTTTTATTTTTACTTTGAATGCAGACAGATTTTTTTAATTCTCTGGTAACTGTAATATTCATGCTCTGCAGATTTGTTGTAGATGTATAGCAAGCCCAGCTTTCAGAGATGCTGAGCGTCTGAATGTCCCTGTGAGTTTGCAGGAGGGGCAGGCAGCATGCAGCCTGGGAGTGCACGGACCTTATCCTCTGCCAAAATTACACCGTTTGGAGAAGAGAACCTCTAGGATACAAGCTGAGGAAAAGTACAGTCATAAAGAACCTGGGAAGCAGCAGGTTTTTTTGTACTTTAGTGAACTGTGGGTATTAACAATGATTTTTACCTTCTTTTTTCTTAATTGAGAATTTTCTCCATTAAAACTATGTAGAAATTTGGGGTAGTGAAGAATGCAGTTTCTCCTTGTGAGCCAGGAACAGGTATATTAAGCACAGCACTATATTTAGTATTAAATATTAAATCCAAATTCTCCTCTTTCACGTAGCCCGAAGTTACTGCCTGCTGCGTAACCTGGGGTGACCTGCGCTGCTGCAGCTCAGCCTGCGGGGAGGAAACGTGTTCTGGGTTCGCAGGTCGGTGCCGCTGGAACCCAGCCCTGCGAAACAGAAGTGTGGTCGCATATCAATCTGTATGAGAACAGGACACGTGCGCTTCTAGACTAATTTTGCCAGGTATTTCTTAGAAATGAAAATCCTTTCATGTTGGCACCATTGTTCTTCAGCTCAGGGCTGTACCATTAAGGCTTTTGTAGGCATAGGAGCTTTTCATATTCCTTAAATTTTCTGTTTTTCGCTTCATACGCAATATTGAATTAAAGCAGCAAGCTCGAAATAAAGAGGAACTAGTTCACCCTTTTTTCTCCCCATCCTTTTTGTAATGAGAGCTTTTTAGCAGAACCAAGTTGAGGTATTTTGCAGGTTTTATATTTTTAAATAAAGCAGTATTTCCGTGGATACTTGAAAATGTCATATTAACAAAAAGTTCTTTGTTTTCCTAGACTTTTTTTTATACAGCAAATAAAACACAAATAACAGTTTGCTTAGTTTATTTTTTTACTGGTGCATAAAAATGAAGTTCCTTTTTCTTTCATAACTGATGCCAGCCACTTAATTTCCCATAAAGTTTAGAAATGGTAGAAGATAAAGGGTCTCGTGTGGAAACATACCTGCAGTTGTATTTTTGCTGGAGACTAATGCACAAAGGCGGAAGACAATACTGCTTTGATGGCTGCTGGAGATAAGGCTTGGACTGTGTCCCAAAGAGGAACGTGACTTTTTAGTTATTTTCTACGGCTTCTCTAATAATTGTCGCTTGGATCTCTTTATACAAACCTGGTTTTGACAGGCAAGTATCCTCGCGGGGCAACGGGCAACATCATTGTGCCATCAGCAAGCCTCGTGCCAGCCTTAGGAGAATCAGAGGATGTGTTGGGCTGGAAGGAGCTTTAAAGATCATTTAGTCTGACCCCGCTGCAGTGAGCAGGGACATCTTTCACTAGATCAGGTTGCTCAGAGCCCTGTCAAGTCTGACCTTGAATGCCTCCAGGGATGGAGTCTCCACCTCTCTGGGCACCCTGTGCCAGGGTTTCAACACTCTCATAATGAACAACTTCCTGATATCTAATCTAAATGTACCCACCTCAGGAGAAAGCCACACCACCTAACTTGAACTTGTGTAGGAAGTTGCAGTGAAAACTCACCTGTGTAAAACCTGCGGTTTCAATGTTTCCAACAACTATAAAACAGCATAGGACTTGAGTATTTTGCAAAGAAGGGGAAACTCAGGGAGAGCTTGGAAGCTCTTGGCAGTGGGAAAACAACTTTCAGACAGGGGAAGGAGCATCAGGACAATGCATCTGCATGATCTGGATAGAAAGCTCTGATGCCCTGCAGCAGTCTCTGAAGGTAAAGGTCTGGCCATCCCTGTGCCTGAAAGGAGACAGCAGAATGGCACTGAGCTATGAATAATGTGCGGTAACGACAAAAAGATGCTTGAACTGTTAACTAATGTGTCTAGCATGGTAAAGCTTTCAAGCAGAAAGTTGGTCAGGGTTGACCTGCAGGTTCTTCCCACCAAGGGATGAAACTGGTGATGGATTCCACGAGGTAGATGCTATACAGCTTATTTATAATGAAGATCTAAAGCCCTGCTCCTCTGGACCCACGAGGAATTAAACGTAAAAACAGACATTTTTTAACGTTGTTGGGGTTTTTTTTTCCTCCAGCTCTAGGCATCTTCCCAACAGACAGCACTTAGCTCCAAAAGCACTCCTGCAGCAATCTGTGTAAGGACCTTGCTTTACTGGAAATGGGTAATTTTCTCCTTTGCTGAGCGTTTGCACCCTTTCTTAATATTCTGGACTGGGATATTCTGAATATAAAATGTTGCACCCATGTGACGCATTGGTGTCCCTGGGAAATAGCTTCGGAGTCTTCATTCTGTTTGCAGTCAGGAACACTGTCACTCCGGAGCAGATGATTTTTGAAGAAATGTGGCTGTGACTTTCCTTGGGAAAAGTTTGGCAGCTGTCCCTCTGCTTTCCCACACTGCTTTGCATCCTGCCCCAACCAACTGGTCGGTGTGTACCTGTGTGGGCCTCAGCACTCAGAGATGGCAGTGACGAGATGTCACTGCCTTG